AGTTGGTGGGAGGAAGGAGGGGAATGGTTAATTTGTCCTTGTTTTAAGATCCAAGGGGTTTGGATCTGTATTCACCAGGGAATTGGTGAAAGGTTTCTCAAGGCTACCCAGGGAAGGGAATTAGTTTTTGAGAATAGTGGCAGCGGACCAGAACTAAGCTGGTAGTTAAGCTTAGAAGTCTTCATGCAGGCCCCCACATTTGTACCCTAAAGTTCAAAGTGGGGAAGTAGCCTTGACAATATTATTTCAAACATTTACTAATTCAAGAGGCATTGAAACAAAGCTAAAAGAATTAGTAGTGAATGGCACTACTGAAAGCATCTGTTTTCAGATAAAGAAGTCAGAAGTAATGAATGCAGTTTTAATAGTAAGTTAACATCTGATTAAATTTAAAATGTTACCCCAGCAAAGTAGTACATAGAGAAATGTTAACCTCAAAACATCCTTAATCAAAGGCATTCAGCATGTGAATTGTAGGGTACAAAAGAGCATGAACTGGCATTTATTTACCATTATCTAAGTACATAAGTTTTCATTTTAAAAAGGTATTTTTTAAACTAGTAACCACTTGAATCTTTATTTCCTCTATGGTTATTCAATTCATTAAACATAATTCTGAGTGTCTGGACATAATTAACTTTTATTAATATAATCAATATTAATAATATAAAGTGTCAGGATTGTGGAATTCATTTATGGTTTCTAAAATCTGAATATTCAGAAAACATGGGACTGAATAAAAAGATCATTATTCATAATTCAATTACAACTAACTTCAAAACACTCTCTTACATTCAGTACAAGAACTCAAAATGACAGACTGAGGGAGCAATTTGATTGGCTAATGAAGATTCTGAGCTGTGAAATAATTGAATTGGATGAAACTCATTAGCTAAAACAATAAAGCAGACATTTTATAAACACAACTACACTGTTCATAACAATGTAATGTATACAGTTTCCATGGATTGAGACATACATATGTAAAACAATGATACATCCTGCTGTACCCATCAATACTGTATATTAAACATAGGTTAAATCAAAGATAGATAACCTTGCCTAGAAGTGATATGTACAGTGGTGCACAAAAGCTCAAAGGCAGATGCCACAGCATATTTTTTTTATGATGCAAGACTGCTCAAGATCATCTATGGATAATGAACCATGACAACTTTGAATTTGATGAAGCATAAGTTGATAGTGAAAGAAGTCAAAGGAATGCAAGAAATATTTGAACAGTCAGCAAATGCATACAGATTGTTTTTTGCTTATCCTTGCAATCTGAAATAGCAACATAAGAGCCATAAAAATACGCCTCCACTAATTTGACATACCCTTGAAATCAGAAAAAGCCATTTTTAGAAAAAATAATAATTTTCTCTATAGAAAAGTATCTTGCACTAAAACATACCACAAGCTATACAAAATCCACAAGGATACCAAACATTTGTTGGTGTTTTTAAAATACCTTATATGATCGGCATCAATGCAGTTTTCTGCTCACAGGGAAATCTCGAGTGAAGTATGTACCAGTCAGGTTCTAAATTCTTCACTGCTCAAGCTCCCCTTTCTTTTTCACTTTAAAAAGAGAAAGTGAGAGAGATTCCATTTAAACACTGTCTGGCACCTCTCTACTTGCATTTGCTATTATCTCTTTGCCCACAACAAACTTCTGTTTAGAAAACACATTAATTATTCTTGGTTTGTTCTATCCCCTTCATTTCTTGATTGTGAGAGGTTGAGTGGCAACAAAGGATAATCAATCATAAGATCTAGAAAAATGAACCTTGGATAAAGAAATTTCTTCCTTCTTTATGTTGATACTCTTTATCATTGACACATGGGGTTTTATTTATTTAATTTATTAATGTGACAATATTTTTTGTTTTCTGCACTTTTTAAAACTGAGGCAGACGTGGTGAATTTGCCATTCTAGTGCTGTCACACCAATGAGATACTTGTATGCCAGCTGATAAACATGTGAGAGAATGATTCCATAGTTTTAACTTCTTGATGATTCATTCCTCTTTCTGCCTGTTTGAGATTAAAGGCCCTAATACATAACCAAAATTATGTGAATGTTTATCACTCTCACCACAATGCTTTGCTGATATGGACTTTAGAAAAGTCAATGGAAACTTGTGGCAACTGAAGACAGGAATCCCAGGTGTCCTTACTTTAGTCAGAGTTGAGTAAACTCTTTACTGTAAAATGTGAGGATAGAAGAATTTGCTCTGCAGGAATAACACTTTGTTTTGGGCCACAGCCCACAGGTCTTACTCAGTTAATATACCTAATGGATTCAGTTGATTACCATGGGAGTTCTTCTGGGTAAAGATTATGGGGACTGATCTATAGTCTACTGAAATAAATCAAAAGACTCCAATTGATTTTAATAGGCTTTGGATCAGTCTTTATAGAATTTGGCCCTCTGAGCAGGTGGCTTTTCCAATCTGCTCTATAAACACAGTTCACACAATATGGAAAGTCTTCCTTTGGTTTAGCTTTATCAACAAAGAAAACAACCACAACAACATAATGTTATGCTGGAAGGTGTTAATGACTGAGAGCAAGCAAGTCTTTTGAGCTGTAGGCAATCATAGACCTCATTAAAGCTTATAGGCATGTGAGCCACCCTTCATTCATCCAAATGGAAGGAGCAGTTATTTATGGAATAAGATACCTGAAAAACCAGACTCCCACCCCCCCTCCCCAACACTGTGCCACAGGAGAAGACCCGGGCAAGAACTAACTCAGGGAGAGTGAGAGGGTTCTCCCTGGGACTGACTGTGAACACAAGGGCTGGGAGGTTGTTTGGTTGCAGCTGTGGTTTTCTGTGTGGGGCGTGGGTGACAAAGGCAGAAAAGAAGGCATGAGTGAGGGTGGAAAGGCAGGCTTGGAAGTGATAAGCAAGAAAACTCCCTGCTGTTGCTTATTCCAATTGGGGTCAGGAAAACAGGACTTTACTCATCATCAATTTCTCCTCCTAATGAAACAACGCAGCAAGGCCCTGAATATTGGCTAACCCACTTGGACAAAGATGCAGCAGTAACAAAGATCAGTTCAAATTTTTTCCACAGTCTTGGCTACTCCTAAATTTCCACCCACACCTTACATCCGACCTCAGGTGGGGTAAATGAGTCACCTCACCTAGTGATTTAGTAGAACCAATTTTCCCCCAAATCAATACCTACTGAAGTTGGTGGGGTGTTTCAGGCAAACGGGTCCCTTGATGCAAGTCCACATTAGGGTGCTGCATCCAAAGAGCTAAATAGCCTTTGCTGCATATTATTAACATTAGAGTTATGACTATATGCCCCTGCGCTAGTGCTGTACAAATGCATAATAAGAGATAGTCGCTGAACTGAAATCTAAATAGACAAGGCAGTCAAAGGACAGGAGAAATGATGTGTCCTACTCAGTTTTCAGATGGAGAACTGAAGCACAGAAAAGTAAGTGACTTTTTCACATTATTGTGAAATTCAGGCTTTTTCCATATTTGCAAGGTCTTGGAAACAATTGTAGCAGAAGACATTAAATGCACTTTCTTAAAAATCACTGAAAGCACAGGATTACATTTAAAATTGCAGAAAAAACAGGAGATTGTGCTTAGAGATATTGCTAAATATTTTCTAAATATTTTCTATAGCTTTAGACTATTTTCTTCAACTCCTCTTTAGATGCTTGAAAATATCCTCTTTTCTTCTGTGCCAGTATAAATTTCAAAAGAACAGTTTAGTATTAAAAAAAAAGGAGGGGGGGATAAAATGACAAAACAGAATTATGTATAAATCCAGGATTCTTCAAAATTCTCCATGATGCATGTGAATCTTCAAAGAATATCCTCGGTTGGGAAATAATTACTTTCAAATCTAGCTTTTCCAGAGCCACTTAAGCAGAGGCATCCTTAATTCTGCCATTTCCTAACTTTTGAGTACTTGACTTTGTAACTTTAATCATGTTTTAACATTATTTTGTGTGCAATTTCTGAGATTCAAAGAAGAAAACTAAAAAAATAAATAGAAAACGCCATCATGAGGCATCGTACTGACACCCACATCGGTTATCAACAGGTTTGGAACCTTTAAATCTACTGCCCAGACTCTGCCACTTGAGGTAATGATAACTGATAGCAGTAGTAGCTTATTATGAGGACCAACACTAGAGGGGGATGAGACACACACTTTGCCCGTGAGTTCCACAGCTATTTCCTAGAATGGTGAGATTCAGGGGTCTTGGGATTCATTCTAGTGGGCACAGATTCTGCATGTTCCCATCCCCACTCCCCAAGCTTGAGCCCTTCTGCCCTGTTCCTTCCACCCTGTCCCTGTCCTGTCTCTTCCCCACACAAAGTTCCTTGGCCCAGTCCTATTCTCCTTGCCTACCAAGTCCCTGTCTCCAGTCCTCAGATGTCTCACGCCAGTCCCAGTTTCCTTACCCAGCTATCTCTCGTTTCCTTCTTCAAGTCCCAATCTCTCCCCTCCCCCTGATGCTCAGGCCCAGATCCACAAATGGATTTAAGTGCCTGAATCCCAGATTTAGGGTGGGAGAAAGAGGCCTCCTTTATAGCCTTTAGCCCAGCACCATAACTACTGGTTTAAAGTTTATAAGGGAGGTCACCTCCTCCTCCCCACCCCCTGGATGTAGTGTAGAGTTAGATGCCTAAGCCATTCTCACAGGAAACACCTTGGACACTTGACTCCAGGTGAGGGGTTCCCAGTTATGGATCCCAAGACCAGATAAGTACCTCCCTCCACCACAGACTTAGGCACTTCACTTCATGAGAGGGTTGGAGCTTAGGATACACTCCTCTCACCAGCATCTCCCACTGGCTGACATAGCCAGCTCCCCACCTAGCACGCTGGCGTTTATGGATCCCATTCATTGCATAGGGACCCTAGGCACCTAACCTCCAGTTTGTGGATTCCAGTGATTTTCTAGGCACTCACAAGATAAACACTATGGATCCAGGCCCCAGTCTCACCTCCTCCCTACACATAGTACTAATCTCTTTGCCCAGCCAGTCCCAGCCCTCCCCTGCTCCTCATCTGGTTCGTCTCTCCCCACTTCTCTCCCCACCCTGATGCCTGCCAGTCTCCTTCCCCAGGGTCCTCATCCAATCTCCAGTCCCCACCACACCCCCTCCATGGAACAAGAACCCAGTCTTTTTGCCCAGACAGTCCCATTTCTTCTTCTGAACCACAGCTCCTTGTCAGATCTCTCTTCCACCCAGCCCTGTTTTCCCCATCATCTGCCGGTCTCCTTATCCAAACCATCAGAGTCTTCCCCCTCCAACTCCCAGTTTCTCCCCTCCTCTCCCACTTTCCCTGCCCCAAGCTCCTTGTCCCAACGTACTTCTTTGCTTCTCCCCCCTCCCCCACCCAAGTCTCGCTTTTCTCTCTTCTGCATTCAAATTAGACACCTCCCTCTTCCCACTACCCAGGTGCCAACAAGTTGTGGTGGAGGCACTGAACACAGAAGAGACAGACTCCCTGCTCTCACCTCTAGTGCCTTGTCCTACTCCAGCCCAGAGCATCTGGCAACAGCCATTACAGGGAAAGCCTTCGTAGCCCTGGGCTGAAGCACGCTCAGTTGCTCTGTGGGGATGGAGCATGCAGTCCTGTCATGTGTAAGATCTCTGAGGGGATAGATCATGCTCAGTTGCTCCATGGGGTCAATGCTAGGAGCTGTGAGAGATTCGAGCATGCTTCCTTGGACAGAATCTTCAGAGATTTTAGCTATTAAGCTCTAGCAAGTCTCTACTGAGCATGCGCACACTGCAATTTTTCCAATATATCTTGGCCAAATTTGGGTGGATTTTTACAGGGATGTCAAAGAACAACACTCTTGACACAAAGGCCACCCCTCTTCCAAATTTCAAGTCCCTGCTAATTTTCCCTAATCTCATTCTTGGAAACAGCTGCACCATTTTGTCTGAAATAAAATAATAATAATAATTAATAAATGTTGACCTGAATTTGATAGGTTAGTTGTTATGGCTCACCACTGATTGCATCTGACTAGAAGATTTATAGGTTCTTGTCCAATTCAGACTACAGGGTTCAAGAACTCAGAGAGTTCTATATCAGGAGAGGACTCTCGGGGTGCTTGGCAAAAACACTTGCACTGAGGACAACACCAAACTGATAAAAACTTTATTGAGATTAACAAAAGAATAATAAATGATATGAAACTTATAACTGCAAAACAGTAAAAGAATTTGAAAACCTCTGATGGTAACGTTCTTATTATAAGCCCTGGTCTACACTGGGTAGGGATGGGGGATTGATCTAAATTACGCAACTTCAGCTATGTGAATAACATAGCTAAAGTCGACGTACTTAGATCTACTTACCACGGTGTCTTCACTGTGGTAAGTTGACTGCTGCTGCTCCCCCGTCGACTCCGCCTGCACCTCTCGCCGAGCTGGAGTACAGGAGTCGACGAGAGAGCACTCGGAGATCGATTTATAGCATCTAGACTAGACGCGATAAATCGATCCCCGCTGGATCGATCACTGCCCGCCGATCCAGCGGGTAGTGTAGACATACCCTAAGTTCCTTAACTTAACATACTCA